GGACGTGGTTATGGGGGTCTACCATGGATCTCAGTGGGTTTGGAGGTTGTTATGGAGGTCTACTATGGATTTGAGGGGGTTTGAGGGGGTTTCGATGTGGTTATGGAGGTCTACCATGGGTTTGGGGGAGTTTGAAGGGGTTTGAGTGGGTTTGGGGTGGAAAGGTTCTTGGTGGACATGGTTATGGGGGTCCACCATGGATTTGGGGGGGTTTGAGGGGGTTTGAGTGGGTTGGGACGTGGTTATGGGGGTCCACCATGGGTTTATGGGGGCTTTGAGGGGGTTTGGATGTGGTTATGGAGGTCTGCCATGGATTGATGGGGGTTTATTATTGAAGGTTCTTGGTGGACATGATGATGGGGGTCCACCATGGGTTTATGGGGGCTTTGAGGGGGTTTGGATGTGGTTATGGAGGTCTGCCATGGATTGATGGGGGTTTATTATTGAAGGTTCTTGGTGGACATGATTATGGGGGTCCACCATGGGTTTATGGGGGCTTTGAGGGGGTTTGGATGTGGTTATGGAGGTCTACCGTGGATTTATGGGGGTTTCTTATTGAAAGTTCTTGGTGGACGTGGATATGGAGGTGTACCATGGATTTGAGGGGGTTTGGGGTGGAAAGGTTCTTGGTGGACCTGGTTATGGGGGTCTACCATGGATCTGAGTGGGTTTGGACGTGGTTATGGGGGTCCACCATGGGTTTGTGGGCGTTTGAGGGGGTTTGGATGTGGTTACGGGGGTCCACCATGGGTTTGGGGGGGTTTGAGGGGGTTTGAGATGGTTTGGAGGTTGTTATGGAGGTCTACCATGGATCTGAGGGGCTTTGGGGTGGGAAGGTTCTTGGTGGACCTGGTTATGGGGGTCCACCATGGGTTCGTGGGGCTTTGAGGGGGTTTGAGTGGGTTTGGATGAGGTTATGGGGGTCCACCATGGGTTTATGGGGCCTTGGTGGTCATCATTGATCGAAGGGGGTTTCACCACCAACTTTTGACATAGTTTTGAGTCCCACCACCAAATTTTGACATAGTTATGGAGCCCCACCACCAATTCCACGTAATTTTGGGTGCAACCATGAACTTTCGATGTAGTTATGGAGCCCTACCACCGATTTAATGTAATTTTGGGTGCAACCACCAACTTTTGACACAGTTATGGAGCCCCACCACCAATTTCACGTAATTTTGGCTGCAACCACCAACTTTTGACACAGTTTTGGAGTCCCACCACCAACTTTTGATGTAGTTATGGAGCCCCACCACCAATTTCACGTAATTTTGGGTGCAACCATGAACTTTTGACATCATTTTGAGTCCCACCACCAAATTTTGATGTAGTTTTGGAGTCCCACCACCAATTTAATGTAGTTTTGGGTGCAACCACCAACTTTTGACATAGTTTTGACTCCCACCACCAAATTTTGACGTAGTTATTGAGTCCCACCACCGATTGCACGTAATTTTGCGTGCAAGCACCAACTTTTGACACAGTTTTTGAGTCCCACCACCAAATTTTGATGTAGTTTTGCAGTCCCACCACCAACCTAACCCCCCCCACCCCTCCCTACCTCCTTTTTGAGGTTCTACCATCAATTTTTGACATAGTTATGAGTCCCACCACCAATTTAATGTAATTTTGGGTGCAACCACCAAATTTTGACATAGTTTTGAGTCCCACCACCAACTTCTGACGTAGTTTTGGAGTCCCACCACCAATTTCACGTAATTTTGGGTGCAACCACGAACTTTTGACACAGTTTTGGAGCCCCACCACCCACCTAACCCCCCCTCCACCCCTCCCCACGCCCTTTTTGACCTCCCACCTCCTTCTGGCCGCGCCCCCAGACCGGCGACGGCGTCAACGACGCGCCGGCGCTGAAGAAGGCCGAGATCGGCATCGCCATGGGCTCGGGCACGGCCGTGGCCAAGACGGCCTCGGAGATGGTCCTGGCCGACGACAACTTCTCCACCATCGTGGCGGCCGTGGAGGAGGGCAGGGCCATCTACAACAACATGAAGCAGTTCATCCGCTACCTCATCTCCTCCAACGTGGGCGAGGTCGTCTGGTGAGCGCCCGACCAGTCCCGACCAGTTCCGACCGCTTCGGACCAGTTTGGAGCCCTTGGTCGTTGTTGTCGCCCGGAGTTTGGAGATGTTGGCGGCTCTGGGGGGTTTTGGAGCCCGGCCTTGGACCAGTTTGGCCCAGTTTGGCCCAGTTTGGAGCAGTTTGGAGCAGTTCTGTCCCACTCCCGTCCCAGTTTGTCCTGCTCCGTCCCAGTTCCCTCCCAGTCCATCCCAGTTTGTCCCAGTCCATCCCAGTCCATCCCAGATTGTTCCCGTTCCCCTCAGTCCATTCCAATCCCCTCCCAGTCCATCCCAGTTTGTCCCAGTCCATCCCAGTCCATCCCAGTTTGTCCCAGTCCATCCCAGTCCATCCCAGT